TTTTGAAGGATTTGTTCTCCCTACACTTCTGAATGTAATACTCTTTTGTCAATGTAATAGAAGTGAATTATCTTTGCTGAAGCAGTTTGTTGTTTTCGAAATTATATGGTGTCTGCGGGGCCTATTCTTGTGTTTTAGCCGAGATGATTTACCCCGGCTAACAGAGTTGGTGATATGCCCAACTCAAGGGCTCCAGCCGAGATGATTTACCCTGACTGGAAAAGTTGGTGATCGCCCTAGTGTGTTGTAGCCGAGATAGTTTACCCCGGCTAAAACATTTGATGATTTGCCCAACTCAAAGGAATTGTTTCTGTTTAGGAACTTTCTTGTATTTAAAATAATGTAGTGCACGGTTAAATGGGTTGATGATTTGCTCAACTCCGAAGTTTCAGTCGAGATGATTTATTCCGACTAAATGAGTCGATGATTTGCTTAACTCCAAAGTTTCAGCCGAGATGTTTTATTTTGGCTAAAAAGGTTGATGATTTGCTCAACTCTAAGGTTTTGGCCGAGATGATTTTCCCCAGCTGCAAGAGTTGGTGATTTGCGCAACTCAAGTGTATTAGCCGAGATGATTTACCCCGGCTGCAAGAGTTGGTGATTTGCCCAACTCAAGTGTATTAGCCGAGATGATTTACACCGGCTATAGGAGTTGATGATTTGCCTAACTCCAGGCCTCTAGCTGAGATGACTCTTAGCACGGCTAGGGAGTTTATCCCGGCTACATGCTTGAATAACTGTTTACGTAGCACTAACAAGGCTGTATGCATAACCGATATAATCTTCTCGGCTCTATGAAGACTACAGCAGATAATGCAAAAGTAAGTGCAAAATAACAACTTTTCATTGATGGAAAATTGGACACATACGGTGGGGCTTGTAGCCCAGTTACAAAACTTCAGACTAAAATTGAAAGAGACAAGCCTAAACTAAACTAGAGGGGAGAGATCGGCAAACTCGTCACTGGTTCCTTCTGTCGTGACCACTAGGTCAACAACAGGAACCTTCTCTTTCTCGCCGAGCTCCGGTTGGCTACCCTCTTCCTCGGTTTCTTTGTCTGCCTCCTCTTGCAAGGCGTTGAAGACTTCATTGGCATAAGGAAATAGGTAGACCGGCAAGAAGGCTGGGGGAGGAGAAGCAAATACCTCGGTCTCCGATCATTGGCCGAGCTTTTCGCAAGCGGCCTTCCAACCGGATTTGAAATAAATGTCCTTAGTGGCTTCAACCTACTTGGTATAGTTATCTTCGGCCTGCTGGAAACTAAGATTGTTGGCCTCTTCCACAGCAGCCTTCCTCCCTTCTTTTTCGGCTGCGAGTTGGGCTTTTAGTTCGTCCCTTTCTTGCTTGGCCCGGCCAAGTTGGCCGAGGAGTCTCGCATTGTCAACATTGGCCATTTCAAGTGAAGCCTTCGACCTCCCTAGCTTGGTCTCAAGGTTCTTGGCCTGGTTATTGGCATCGGTTACCTTCTGCTGAAGCCTGTGAATCCTTTCCATGACCAGATGCTGCTTTTGGATAGCTTGTAAGAGGATGTGCAAGAGATCAAATAAGAAGAGTAGTCGTGGAAACACGTGACAAATTTAAATAGATGTGAAGAACTCTTACCCTGGTCATGGATTTAACCAAGGATTTGACAAGCCAGGTGTCGGGAACATGCTCACTGCCGGCCACATCACTCGATAATAGTAGTGCTTTTGTCAAGTCAAAAGCCAGAAGGTGTTCTTTATCGCTTTTGACAGAGGCGCTAGCCAGGATCTCTTTTCCCCGGTGCTTCAGCTGCGGGTGCCATGGTGGACTTGGTTCAGATCCCTCTGCGGGTTGCTCGGTGCTCAACTCGGCCACGAGCTCGGCGGATGGGTCAGCAGACCAAGGCCTTTTGCCTGCTCGGCGGCCTTCCTTGCCGGCCTGCGCCGAAATGGTCGATGCCAAGGCGATAACGGTCTCGGATGACTGTCCGGCTGTTGAGGTACAAGGGGGGAACCTGGGCAGCTCGGCAGATGTGGCGATGATGAGGTTCTTGATGCGGCTCTGCTTGGCCATCTCTTCTTCTTCGGTCAGCCGGATAAAGAGCACGTCTGGTAATGTTGGATTAGGTGGTGGGGATGGCGCCCGTAGAAAGTCGGTGACTCTACTTCTACGGGAAGCCGAGTAGCGGTAGCTTAGTACGTAGCCGAGAAGTTCATGGCAGTCTCGGTGGCTATACCTCAGCGCGGCTCTGATGGCAGCCTCGTGGGGATTGTAGTAGTTTGCTTGCAAGGCTTCAATAGCTGCAGAGTAGGAAAGAAGAAAAGACATTAGTATAGAACAATGATGGAAAATGGGTTGACCGAGCAGTGAGCACGGCTTACATGTCGAACCGAAGTTCTTGCTGATGTACCAGCCGGGCACGTCGGCTATCTCATAATTACCAGACACCCAGAAAAAGTCATCGTCGTGCATATCTTTATCTGGGGTACCGGTTACAATCTTCTCCTTGCCCGGTCTGATCTTTAAATAATAATTAAGCCCGTCGCCTGTATGGCCCAGGGTGTATTGGCGCAGAATCTCGACTAGCCCAAGGTTCAAACCAAGCCGGTTATTTAGCTCGGCCACGCCGTTTATTATTCTGAATGTGTTGGTGGAGACTTGTGTTGGCGCTAGCTCGGTACGCCTCAGGAACTCACATATTAGAGGCTGAACTGGGAAACGTAAACCTCCATCTATTATGGACAGCACAGTGAAGGGGCATTCATCCAGTCTACCCCACGGGGTTGTGTCCTCGGCGCAGAGCTCGAGATGCACGTCTGCGGGGACGCCATATTCTTCCCTGAACGCGGCAAGGGCGACTGGCGTGTCAACGAGGAAGTAGCGCCCCATGTGAAGTCGGCTGGTTTTAGCACGGCGGTGTTGGTTTGGCAAATTTTTGTTTGATGGTTGCTCGGCTGTTGAGAGCCTCAGTGTTTGTTCTGGTCCACTAGGACTCTGCAGTAAGAGTAAGTGTAAGTGTAAGTGGGAGCACGGTCGCGCAAAACGAGCTCGACTTTAGCTCGGTAATGGAGTGCCAGACCATCTCGGTCACAAGGGTAAACCCAGAAGCTCGGCCACTCAAGCGGACCAAATATTAGCCCGGTCGAGTGGTCAAGTATTCTGTTACCTCGGTTCCTACAGGAGCTTTTGCAAACTCGCAACTTACTCGGTTTTGATGTTTTTTGGGATCAAAAGAATACCTAGAGCCCGGTCCGCCCCAAATCCTTGCGTGCTCATCACGGAAGTTGAAGAACAGTTGAGAGATAAGGGGCCAAAGGTGGTTTTTGGGGTGCTACATCCTAAAACCTACTGCTATTGTGCCCTACAATGTAAGTTTCAAATGAAAAACAATGGAGAGATTCGAAGGACTTACCATTTTTATTGGCAAAAGTCGAATCTTCGAGCACGATGACAGTCCAGAGCAAGAATGGTGTTTGGAAGAGAGAATCGCACTGCAGCATTTGAGGCACCTCGAATGGAAGAGAAACAGTAAGGAGGAAAGAGGAAAGGGAAAACGACGAGCTTATAGAAAGAAAAGAAGTGCCAAAAATTTGAAAAAATGAAGAAGCGGCGAGGTTGGCTGCTTGAGGCCAATGAGCGGAGGACGTGTGTCCCTAATGACAGCGGCGTCAGTACTAAAGAGACAGGATGGTGAGTTGAGGCGTCGACCAAGCAATTCAAGAAACTGAGCATAAGGATTAGTTCGGTCAATGTCTTGTGGGTTTAAGTCGGGCGGAGGATCGACCCCGGTCAGATCATGTAATCTCAGTCACGCTTGCGCAGACGGAATTAAGGGACAATTGTGAGGGAGATTTATATTCCAGCTTTGGGCCGTGGTAGAAGCCGGGCAGAGAGAGGTCCGAGTAGGTTTAGGCCGAGCTATCTGGGCTTCTCCAGAGTTGGTTTGTTCGGTCAAGGCCCAGTTCCCATGTTGGGGCCGAGCTAACTTGGGCCTGTCCAGGTTAGGTTTGCTCGGTCGAGTCCCTGCTTCCAAGTTTGGGCCGAGCTAACTTGGCCGAGGTGATTGTCGGCCAACCCGGGTTACGTGGTTTGCACATCTAGCTCGACGGGAAGGTGCTTCTGAACACCAGCTTAATCTGCCTAGAGCTGAGTCATACCAGGAAACTATTGAGCTCGGTTGTGATGGAGCTCAGCGAGTGGCGCTGCCAGGCTCGTTATGTAGCACGGTCATTGGAAGCCAAGGTGATGCCGGCGGGCTACCCCATTCCCGCTAATGTTGTTTGGCGGTTTGATTAGGTGGTGTGTAGCTGGACTTGCGCTGACAGATGGGAGAGCAGCTCCACGTATCAATGGACGAGTGGGTGCAGAGATGAACGCAGAAAGTATATAAGCATGACTGTGCCCCCCATACCTGGCATGGAACATCATTTGGTGAGAGAACACTTAACATTCATTCAGCTCTCTCTCTCTCTCCCTCTCTCTAAGTGTGTGCTAACTAGACCGTCGGAGGGGTTTTCCGGCGACACACCACCGAGTAGCTCACTGCCGTTGTGTTTTCAGGTTGATCGGATAGACTCGGAGCTTGGACGAAAGGAGTACGGACAGCGATGAATATCTCCTCCCCGTACACTACCCATTTAGATGGCATGGATCTTTTGTCTGGATCACTTTCTTTATGCAAGAGAGCTATTTTCTAGAAACAAAGAAATTGACAAAAACATATGTGAAAATTCCCAACTTTGCTCTGCAAAACAGTAGTTGCATTTTGGGCCAATCTGAACCCAAAGCCACTTGTTCACCTCTTATCTAAAAACCATTTTATGATGATCTTTTTTTTTCTTTTTTCTTTTTCCTTTTTTTTTTAAATTTTCTGTAGAGCCTTGTGTATAGATCATTCATTAAAAAAATAATAAAAAAATAAAATAAAAAAAATCAAATTAATCTATATTCATAATCGCATAATTTTATTATATTTATCTTTACAAAATGAACCATAAAGATAATTTTTTTTTTTTTTTTTAAAAAAAGACCTTCCATTTTTCTAGAAAAAACAAGGGAAAACAACCACACTTTTATTAGCTTCAAACTTGTTATAAAATAAAATATAGAACCCCTTATCCAAGAAAGTGAGATCAAACAAGCTTAATATTTTGGATCCATATCACATAATAATTAATCTCATAAAACCAGCTGCAAATATTACCATTGCTATGAGAGGATCGGAATCAAATGTGTTTCCTCTATTTCCTTTTGAGGTGTTCAATCTTTTGTTTCCTCTCTCTCTCTCTAACCATCGATCATCTTCACTAATCAAATTCCTTCCTTAAACCAACAGTGGCACCAGCTTTTTTGAGTTCTCCAGCTAGAGGTGTCTGCATTAATTCATTCATTTCAACATCGCTAATGTCATAATTTAAAATGTATAAATCAGAATCAGTTTTATTGTAGCACACACAATACCAAAAATTAACTTTTGTCATACATTAGCATCGTTTCTCATTGTTTTTAAGTTATTATCTTTAAAAAAAAGTTTATGAAAGGTATTTTTTATTTTTATTTTATTAAATTGGCATACCGTGGATGGTCGAGTGCGCAAAACTATGTCCAATGCAGTCAAGTTTTCGAGATTGTAAGCCCTTTTATCCACTCTAGGATCAGTAATTACAGAACGGAGATGGTCATATCCAAGAATAGCCAAGAGATGCAGAGGAGTGTTCCCATTATAATCCTTGCCATTTATGATACTGTTAAATGAGGAATTTCTCAGTATTAAATCCACAGCTTCTTTTTTGTTGCTCTCCACAGCAATGTGAAGAGCGTTTTGTCCTGAACCATTGACCATCTCACAACAATCAGGGCATTGAGAAATCAACTCTTCCATTGTTTTTATATGTCCACGGCTGGTAGCAATGTGAAGGGCCGTCATGCCCTTACTGTTTTGCAAGTATGCCGCCATTTTATCCCAATTGAGTAATAGTTTTACCAGCGTTACGTTATTGAAGTGCGCAGCACAGTGAAGCGGTGTCCACCCCATTCTATCACCTATTTTTGTTAGTGATGACATCTTTTCCAATAATTGTAATGCAATTTCTGATAGAGAGAAAAAATAATAATTAATTAATAAGAGAGAAATAGTGGAATCAAAATCACAAATGTAACTTGCATTGATACACACCCTTTTGAAATCTATACCACAACATTACCTTATTTTGTTACAAGAGTCAAACACTCATATATATTCTTTTATAATTCTTCTTACATTTTATTTATATGACACGTTCTCAAGATATATAAATTTTCCAGCAAAGTATATATCAAAGATTTGTATTAAGGAAAATGCTACACATAATCTCATTTCTTATCATCATTTCTCACTCAAGAATCCTCTGTCCCCAAATAACTCTGTCCCTTTGTCTCAAATCACTCACAACCATTGCATGTCTTGAGATTTTTACATCTTTAGATTCTCATATGATCTAATAGTTGTGAGTGATTTGGAATAGGGAGACAGGATTATTTGGAGACAGAGGATCCTTATTATCATTTCTTACTTCAAAACACAAGTGAGTGAGTCTCATATATATTTAGCCTCCATTGTTTTGTGTTTAATAGTGAGAATATAAGGTTAAAAAATGAAATTATATATAGTATTTCTCTTGTATATTAATAATGGGAAAAAACCAACCTTGCCAATCGGAAATCACGGCGGCGTGCAAGGCAGTTCTACCCCTAGGGCCGCTGTGTCCGGGCGAAATACAAGTGTTGAGGATCACAACCACCATCTCCTTATCTCCTCTCTCCGCCGCCAAGTAAAGCGGGCTCTCTCCAACCCTATTACCACCATAAGAAATCCCAGGATCAGCCTCAGCCACCAACTTCACCACCTCAGCGCCACCACCACGACAATCCTTAACCGCCAGGTGTAGAGCAGTGTCCTTGTCCACATTTCGTGCACCAATCATTTGCTTCGTACCGGCACCAGCGCCATTACTGTCGTGCATTTCTGCACATTTGATGAGTAGTTTGACAATATTGGCATGGCCTTCCCTGGCTGCAATGTGGAGGGCAGTCTCGCCCTTCTTGTTAGCCATTGTGAAGAGTGAGGGGCACATTTGGAGAATTTTTTGGACGGTGTTGATATTGCCAAACTGAGTTGCGATGTGGAGGGCAGTGTTCTTGTTTGGGGTTACATGGAGGAGAAGTTGTTCCTTCTCCATGATATACACATTGTCTTCCATGGCCGCCTTGTACAGCTGATCCATGCCCGGATAATAATAATTAGACTGTTTCTCTCCTATTAGTTGGACACACCGTCACCCAAATACTTAGATAATTTCTAGTTTTTTTGGATTTTCTGAACTCTTCATCTGCCTAATGCTTTGGTTTTATTTTGATTGGTTTAGTAGCTAACTTGACAAAAGTGACCTTAGAGTTCAAGCAAGGAACATAAGAATGTTTCTTTTTGAAGGTAACTTGATAATTCAATTTGTTAATATTTTAGGCCTCTCTATGTATAAAACATTCCACAAAAATAAATAAATAAATAATTGATTCGATAGTTGTAAATACATCACAAAGTTGACCTTGGAATACAAGGGCATAAGATATATTTTGGCCACATGATCCATGTTTCCTCTCTCGAATTCTCTCTCCATCACACAAATGATGTAGTTCTTAAGTTCCAAAGCATTCTCAAAACCCCTGAAAGTATAGTGGAAAACAACACAAGATCTGATCTCATAATTTGTGGATCAAGATCATTTCTAGCACTTTTTTCATTCAACAATTGATTCAAAAGTCTCAATTCAACAACGAGTCTTAATCACTAATTGTGATCTTTGGATTAATTACTGAATGATGGATGAAAAAAATGGTGGAAGGAATCTTCTTCCATATTTTGCAGTGGCATTCTTGGGTTCTATTTTGATTCTTGTTAGTACAATGGCATAGGAAAAATATATACTTTCATAACTGAAGTGCATCAATGGTACAAAGTTGATCTAGTGATTCACGCAGGGAACAAAATAAATATTCTTGGGACAATGTTTGTTTGTCTGTCTAGAACGGGGGTGAATAATTGAAATTGGAAGGTATATGTTTTCGTTAAAAATGGGATGAATTTGATGCCAAAATTAATGGTGAAGTTTGTTTGTTTAACCCTTGCCCACAGAGGCGCGAGGCTATCACTTTTTTTGATGATTGTGTTTAGATTTTTGAATTTAAAATATTGATTTGTACTCGTAGAAGAAAATAAAATAAAAATATAAGTTAATTTTTTTTTTACATTCCCCCTTTTTTTTTTTTTTTTTGGGCTCACGAACTCATTTCAATATTTAAAATCCAAAGACAACCTTTTAAGTGATACCTTTGAGCCAAATGTACTTCAAAATGGAAGACTGATTGGTTACAATTTTCCAAAAATACTTTTCAGAAAATTTTACTTTCTTATTTTTTCGTATTTTTTTTTATTTTTACTGAATTTTTTTAATATTTTAAGAAAAAAAATTTATTTTTTAGACATACCTAATATAAATATACCTAAAAAGTAAAAAAATTGTAAAAAAAACCTTTTAAAAATTCAATAAATACCAAAAATTTTAAAAAAAATTACTAGAATTCAGTACATTTTTTTTATTTTTATGTATTTATTAATTTTTTAAAATATTTTTTCACAAATTTTTTATTTTTTAGATACATCTAAGTAAGGTGCATCTAAAAAAGTAAAAAAAATGTTTAAAATTTTAAAAATTTCACTAAAAACAAAAAGTACGAAAATAAAAAACCTCAATTTTTAAAAAACTTAATCCAAAAAACTCAAAAAAAACACATATAATTTTTTTAAAAAAAATAATAAATTGTTTTCCTTTTCCAAATCCCTGCTTATACTACCATTTATATAAGCAAAAAGAGATTTTTATGGAGAAACCACATGATCAATATCTCATACTATTTTTTTTAATTTTCTTAATTTTAAACAATTAAAAAAATCCTCATTGGCTAATGTGGGGACATATTTTCTAAGTACTAACACGTGGCCAAGATGACGCCGAAGTGTCAGCCGAGGTGCCACGTGTCCTAGTCGTGACGTCGAGGTGATTTCAACTAGGTCGAGGTTATCTCCCATTTGATAGAGTTGTGAAAAAGTGATTATAGATTATAACTTAACAGATTATAACTTATAACTGTAAACATAAGCTATTAACCTGTTTGGTGTAGCTGTGGGATTATGAATTTAAACAGCTGAGTAATGTTTGGTTAATAAGCTGTAAAATAACTTTTTATGTGTAATTGTCCTTTTTGCTCTTATATAATATAAAAATGATTATTTTGTCATTTTTTTAGTTTTAATTTTAAAAAATTATTTCATTAATAAAAGTTAATATAATTAGTATTACAAAAATTATCATTTTATTAGTAGTATCAATTAGTACAATTTTTTATCATTTTTTTCATTTAAAATTAATTATTGTCTATTAATGGCTTAATTAGCTTCAATTAATACTAAAATTATTAATATTATCAATTAGTATAATTTTTTTTTCATTTTTTCATTATAAATTAATTAATCTCAATTAATGGCTTAATTAGCATCACTTAATACTAAAATTATTAATATCATCAATTAGTATATTTTTTTTTCATTTTTTTCATTATAAATTAATTAGTCTCAATTAATGGCTTAATTAGCATCAATTAATTCTAAAATTATTAATATTATCAATTAGTATAATTTTTTTTTCATTTTTTCATTATAAATTAATTAATCTCAATTAATGGCTTAATTAGCATCACTTAATACTAAAATTATTAATATCATCAATTAGTATATTTTTTTTTCATTTTTTTCATTATAAATTAATTAGTCTCAATTAATGGCTTAATTAGCATCAATTAATACTAAAATTATTAATAGTACCAATTAGTATAATTTTTTTTTTCATTTTTTCATTATAAATTAGCTAGTCTCAATTAATGGCTTAATTAGCATCAATTAATTCTAAAATTATTAATATTATCAATTAGTATAATTTTTTTTATTTTTTCATTATAAATTAATTAGTCTCAATTAATGGCTAAATTAGCATCAATTATTATTTTTTTATTAAAAAAACACCGAAAACATCCACACAAAAAAAAAACTGAAAACCCTAACTCCGGCATGACAGCGGTGATGAATCGGAGCTAGGGTTTCAGATTGATCCATAGAGAGAGAGGCACCACGCCAGCAGTCCCTTCTCATCTCACCGCCGGCGTCAATCGCGAAGAGGGAGAGAGAGCTAGGTTTCACATAGTCGATCACGAAGAGGGAGATAGAGCTAGGGTTCACGCTGTCGATCGCGATGGTTCAGATCACACGATGGTTCACATCACGATGGAGAGCGATCGGAGAACACCGGAGAAAGAGAGAGAGAGAGAGAGAGAGAGAGAGAGAAGAAACAGAGCTTTGGTCACCTGAAATTGACCTGTTCGCTGGAAATCGCCTGGTTCGCCGGAAATCGCCTCTCATGTTTGTGTGAGAGAGAAAAAATGAGTGTTTTTGGCTTTTATACAAGGCACACTTGTAATTAGCATCAATTGGGAAGGACATTTAAGTCATTTTACGCCCCTCATTTCAGCTTCCTGCATTAGCTCAAATTAGAAGCACCCCTAGGATTGCTTATAAATTTAAGCTCAAAATAGCTTAATGAAAGCTATAATCTGTCACTTTAAGTTTTACCAAACACACCAAAATAATTTAATTTCAAGTAAAAGTTGATTTAAGTTGCTTTTAAGTGTTACTAAACAGGCCCAATATGACTCAAAATCAAGCTGCGCACTTGGTAAGCAAGCATTTCTAAGACCAAGTTACTCTAGCTCTTTTGAAATCGGTTTATTAGGCAAACTTGAGTCTTTTTTAAAAATTCTTAAATTTTGAAGATAAGTTTAAACAACGTATTACTTAGCTTGATTCAATTATATACACTAAAATAAAATAAAAATAACTAAACTACTTCAGCTTAATTTAATTAAAATTTATTTAAAATCAAATCAAATTTAAACAATCTATTACATACTGGTTTACCACAACTTCTAGAGGGAGAGGTTGTTGCCTAGAGTTTATTGTCCGCAATTTTGTGGGCCCCACACCCATGTGAGACATTTGGTCATTTATTTGGTAAAAAATTTGGGACCTCTAGCATTTTTCTAAGGGAAAATAATAGCATAGTGATGTAGAGAAAAAAAAATATATATATATATATATATAATATTTTAATTATTAAAATAAATAAATTTTAACATTAATTTATAATTTTTTTCTTCTGCCATATTGTGCTGTTATTTCCCCACTCTATAATAAAATGTCAGCAACGGTTTATCGGACAAATTATTTGACACTGTTGGGGCAAAATAAGATGGTACTCATTTAATTTTTATTGATTGAAATAATGTGATTCGCTAATTTTTTGTTTTTTTAAAAAAATAATTAAACAAATATCTCTCAATAAATAGTATAAAGTAATATTTTAAAACCATCACATAACCTTTTGGAATTTATTTGTACTACCTACCCAAGTATAAATTAGTCAATGGCAACAATTCAGAATTTTCTAGCGTAATTTTCGGGTTTGATTTTTTTATAGTTGATTACATCCCACTTGGATCGTAAAGCAAGAAAAAAAAATTGAAATTACTGTATTTTTTCACTGTCATGTTTAGAGAGTATTTTTTTTTTTTTTTGAATATTCTTAAAAAAATAATAATTTAGAGAATTGATCCATTTTCAAATTATTAGAGAAACTAACCCATTTTTTAAAATCACATTTTGAAAGTGCGATTTTAAATTGAAATCGCATTTTCAATATGTAATTTCAATTTGAAATCACATGTTCAAAATGTAATTTTATGATGATAGCGACTGCTATCGTGACAAATTAAAATTGTGTATTTTAAATGTGACACACTTGAAATCACATGTTCAACATGCAATTTCAAGTAAAGTTGCATTTTCAACATTCGATTTCATGACATTTTTTTGACTTACTCCAGCGACTTTAAAATATACTGTTTGTAAAACTAATTTGTTACTTTTCAATTGTTACCCGTGACTTGCTTCATTGATTACAAAGTACTCTCTGCAGTATTTTGAGCGAAATTGAATCTTCCTGATAGAGATTTGATAATTGATTCAATAATTGTAAATACATGATTTCGTCACAAAGTTACCCTGGAATACAAGCAAGGAACATAAGATATATTTTGGGCCACATGATCCATGTTTTCCTCTCTCGAATTCTCTCTCTGTCACGCAAATGATGTAGTTCTTAAGCTCCAACGCATTCTCAGAACCCCTGTAAGAGTAGGGGAAAAACATTTGATATTGTTGAGCATATAGAG